GGAGAACATTATCGCTGTATTGTTTGATAACTCGTCCCACCTATGAAGGCCTGATTGACGAAAGAGTCTTCATCGAAGTTTGGATTAAGCTTCACTTCTTTCAGTGCATGGGTCCTAATATTGGGTAACGTGCTGCTTGCTACCTCCTTGGGCTTTCATAATATCCTGTAGCATCAAGCAATGAAGTTCTTTTCTACTTTAGGCTCCCAAGATCATCACGTCTCTAACTCTTTCTCCCACTGTGGAAATTCTAGAGTGAGTACCTACCTTCCATCAGTGAACTATAACCAAGGAGAACTCCCCATAGTTCTACAAAATGCTCTTTAATGGACTCATAGTTGATTTTGTTGGAGTCTGTTGTCACTTTATGAAGCTTTGGAGGTGATGTTTTGCCTTGTATGTTAGCAACAATATGAGAATGTATAGTCGCAAAAACTTTCATTGCATGTCAAGAAGTTGAATATGCATTTGTTAGAAAAATGGCTGGTGATATGTGATATGTGAAATGTGGTGAGCTGTAGAGCCCCTAATAAAGGAGAGCACTCTTGGACACATTTCTTTACCAAATGTTGGAAATATGAGACACGGCCCGCTGATTACCCTAAAAGCCTAATAAATAAACAAACTAAGAGAATAACAAAAAACAACCATTTCCTATCTATCTCCTTCTCGATGAACTCATTAGATCAACTCAAGTGCTTTGCCAATTCTCTCCACATCATGGCATTCAAATGATTCCATCAAGAGCTTCCTCCTTGTGAACAATCCATAATTACCCGAATCTCTCACTAAGGTCGTGATTCTGATTCGAGACCCTGATTCGATGATTTCGAATCCTGATTTGATGATTTCGATTGGGAATCTTCATGGAACCTGTTTCGTGAAATCTAGAAAATCTCGCTAATTCTCGATTTCGCAATCGGTGAATATCGATTCTATACTTGTTGAAATTGGTTTCCACATTTAATGGAATTCTACCGCCTGCCTCCTTTTTTTTTTTGCTTTTTTCTTTTAAAAGTGATGCTTAGAAGTTTTGAATGCCTCAAACTACTCGAGCTAGACATACAATCTCAAGCTACAAGGTGTGGTCATCTTTTGGTGAATCTCGATTCTATACTTGTTGAAATTGGTTTCCACATTTAATGGAATTCTACCACAGTGTTTAAAATGCGGCCGCATCATGCGGTACGTGGTGGGCTCCGCATAAGAACTGACCGCATATGCGCTTTTGACCTATGCGACTGCATATGCACCGCATCAAGCCGCATCGTATCGCATCGCACCCCATCCCATTGCATCCCCTTCCGTCGAATTTTTTTTCGATTTTGCCCCTCAAGGAGGGGCAAAATGGTCTTTTTGACCATCCAAAAATGGGGGAAATTGTTTGGGGGGTACTAAACCCCCTAAACAATGATTTCTAGCCATTTTTGTGGCTTTTTTTGCATCAAATCAAGGGAAAAAAATAATTTGACAGAAATTTATTTTTCATTCAAATCTTTGATTTGGCGGTTGTTTGATACTTGGATGCTGATTTGACGCTTTTGATTGTTAATTTGGGGATGTTAGGATGAATTTGTGATAAGAAATCGGGGTGCAAAATTTGACTTCAAATTTCAAAATTGAGTCTCAAAATGGATGATTGTATTAAGTTATTAACTATTAACTCTGCTTGAGCTTGACTTTTGGTTTGTAATATCACTATTTTGTGCTTATGGTTGTTTATGGTTGTGCTTATGGTTGTTGATGGTTGTGCCTATGGTTGTTATGGTTGTGCTTATGGTGTAAATTTGTGCTTATGGTTGTTGATTGTTGAATGTTTTATGAAGCTAGTTTCAAGTTTCTATTTTCTATCAGGGGATAGTGGATAACTGGATACAGAATCTCTGACAGCTAATAATTTTGAAGTTAATCATTAAACTAAAATACCTACTATCACATATATCACCTCCATATTTTTTTTTATGCATTAACCTATTTTTTTAGATTTTTTAGAATTTTTTTACATTTATTGACTGCATCGTCGCGATGCACCTGCATCCGGGCCACATCGAGCCACATTGCCGCATCGCTCCCCCTACCGCTTTTGGCTGCATCCCGCATTTTAAAAAACTCTACCACTCCCCCCCCCCCCTCTTCCTTTACTTTCTTACTTATATTACTTAGTTACTAGTACGTACTACTACTACGTACTACGTACTACTACTACTACTACTACTACTAAC